CAGCCATTATATCATTATAATTGCCATTTTTCTGTAAGGCAGATCAATTTATAGTATTTATTCATTTTTCTAGTCGTGTGCTAGCCCTTTAGGAAGCTTTTTATTTATCTTTATTTTGTATGTATGAGCATTTTGCCTACATGTGTATAAGTGCATCATGTACATGAGATTGGGGGCCGCAAGAGGGTGTTAGATCCCCTGGAACTGGAGTCACGGATGGTTGTGATCCACCACGTGGGTGCTGGAGATTGAACCTTGGTCCTCTGCAAAAGCAGCAACTGCTGAGTAAGTTTCCAAGCCCTAGATAAATGGTCTTGGCGATCAGGTGGGCACTCTCTTCTGTTTCTCTTATTTCATTTCATGTGTGTATACTGTATTTAACTTTGTATTGTTTAACTGACGTAATAGTTTTATATATTCAATGTTACAATGTAAGATAAATATATGTATTGATATACATCATATACTAATAATTTAATCAAGCTAATTAATATATCCATCTCCATACATACCTGTCCTTTTGTTTGTTTGTTTGGTTGGTTGGTTGGTTTTGGTTTTTTGAGACCAGGTTTCTCTGTGTAACATTCCTGACTGTCCTGGAACTTGCTCTGTAGACCAGGCTGGTCTCAAACTCAAAGAGGCCCACCTGCCTCTTCCTTCTGAGTGTTGGGATTAAAGGTGTCCGCCACCACTAAGCACCAATCCCTTTTTAAAAAAAAATTTATCACTTTTATTTATTTTATATGTGTGTGAGTGCGTATGTGTGTGTGTGAATTGTGTGTTGTTGTGAATGTGTGTGAGTACATATGTGTCTGTGTGCGAATGTCTGTGTGAATTGTGTGTGGTTGTAAACATGTGTGACGTGCGTGTGGCATATGTGTGTCTGAATGTATGAATTGTGTGTGGGTATGAATATGGGTGAGTGTGTGTAAGAAAGAGATTGTGTGTGACATGTGTGTATAACGTGTGTGTGATGTGTGCGTGTGTGTGTGTGTGTGTGAATGTAACGTGTGTGAGTGTCCATGTAGTCCAGAAGAGGGTATCAGATCCTGGAGCTGGAGTTATAGGCAGTGGTAAGCCACCTGCTATGAGTCCTGGGAACTGAACTCAGGTCCTTTTCAAAAGTCCTTAACTCTACCCTCTATTTGTGATGTGAACATTTAAAATCTAACTTCATAACAACTTTGACATGTACAATATGTTATTAATTATAGCAACAGGTCTTGCAGTCAGTCATCTGGAATTTCTTCCTTTACCAGAACCTCTGGGCCATCCAACCTTTCTGGCCTCCTTCCTCTCCCAGCCTTGTTAAGCACCTTGCTTGTCTTTCTGGGAGCTCACAGTCAGCTTGTGTTTCTCCAGCTTGTACTTCTGAATCCTTAACAGGCACAATGTGAACAAGTACTCTAAAAGTTCATTTTTCAAAAATCAGAAGTAGCTGTCATTTCAATCTTAAAAGATATTTTGTCCCTTTTTAAGAGTGACCAAAGACACACCAAACTCATATCCTGAAAATATCCAATTTAGACTCGTACATATTTATAGATGCTTATGTACACATGCACCTGTGTATGTATGTGTGTGTGTGTGTGTGTGTGTGTCTGTCTGTCTTTTTATGTAAAATAAATGGAATAGGGCCACAAACTCTCATTCAAAGCCCTGAGGGGCCATATATGTTTTTTTTTAAAATTCAGATTGTTTTTAATTTTAGTAAGATAAATAGTAATAGAAGACATTACACGCTTCACTAAGTAAGGTCCAGTTCAGGATCCTATAATCAAATATTAGTGTCTCTACTGTGAAATGTATGATTATTCATGCCAAGTAGATAAATAATGACTATAAATAGCCTCACGCCAGTTCAAGTCAGATTTTGCTGCCAAATGAGTTCAAGTAAGGTCACATTAACTGCCAAATGAGTTATGGAAAAACTCTATCTTCAGCGCTCTCTGGACCTGGGAATTTGGCGTATGAGTTTGTAGACCTGTGTGCCGACATGTCTCTTTGTAGAATATCACCTGCTCATGAGGGAAGCAACAGAGCGTTTTAAACCTTTCACATATGGTCTGCCAATTCATCCACCGGTAATGTTATTCAGTAAACACAATGAAGCAATAAAGAGTTATTTAAATAGAGATTTGGAGGAGTGTTTGTGTGCACATGTGCGTGTGTGTTACTGATTTTTTTTTTTTTTTACTTAGGGCCTTGTGTGTGTTAGGCTAATGCTCTACCACTGGACTATATCCCTCACCCAAATGAAATTGATTTAAAAATAACTAAGATTGAATCCTAGAGAGAATTTCAGTAGTGAGAATCATCACAGCAATGAGAGAAACATTTAGGGGAAGCAACTGAAGTCTAAAGCCAGTCTTCTGTCTGCCTGCACCAACCTCCAGGCAACACAATGCCCTTGACAAGGTCGATTTCTTAGAACTGCAGATAGAAGACACCTTTCAGAAGTCAACATGGGGGCTTCAGGCATAGGTAATTGGTAAAGCGCTTGCTCTATGAGCATGAGGACCCGAGTTTGATACAAATGCCTAGTGGCATTTGGCTGTAACTGGCATATACGGAGTTTGATACAAAGTAGCTCATGGTGGCATTTGACTGTAATTGGCACGAATAGAGTTTGATACAAAGTAGCATATGGTGGCATGTGGCCTGAGTTTGATACAAAGTAGGGCATGGTAGCATGTGGCTGTAACCCAGCACCCAGGAAGTGGAGGCAGGATGATCCTGGGGCTTGCTGGCCAGCCAATGTAGGTCGTCTGTGAGCTCCAGGTTCAGCGAGGCCCTGTCTCAAAATAAGTCAGAGTCCGGGTGTGGTGGTGCTCGCCCTTAAATCCAGCACTCAGGAGGCAGAGGCAGGCAGATCTCTGTGGGTTCAAGGCTGACTGACCTGGCCTACAAAGGGCTACTTAGTATGACCCTACCTATAAATAAATATGGAGAGAGGCTGAGGAAGGTACCTGTTGTTTACTTCTGGCTTTCATACATATGTACACACACACACACACACACACACACACACACACACACACACACACTATAATCTCCACTCCAGAAAGGCACACACACATTTCCATGTGAAATAGTCACAGTGTCTTTCAAGTCCACCCCGCCACACACAATTCCTACCTCAGATGTTTTCCACACTGGAACAGAATGTGAGTGGTTAAAAACCTCACAGCCAGGACAGTACTGCTGAGAGCTCCTTTCAAGCCGCCTCAAACTGACAGTGGTCATGTGCCTCCGTAGCTTCTATGACATTTACCTCAACTTGCGATTTTCAATGCAATATTCATAAAATAAATATTTCTGAACTCACTGTGTCCCTTTACCTTCCTCTTAAAGGTCGGAGAGAGGAAAAGTAATGGCATGTTGTTTTAGTTTCTCTTTTTTGTAGCTTCCTGTCCCTCTATCATGCAGAACACGGGCTGGGGGTGGGGGAGAAACCCCTGGGAAAAAGACACACAATTTCCAACCAGCGGCTCCATCAGAGCATCAATTTTCAATTTGACATTAACTAGGAAAGGAAATGACGAAGCAATTTTTTTTAAGTGTTGAGCTGTCACAGGGGAATAAAGATTTACATTAGCCCCTGACATCAAATCGTGATTCAGACTTGACAGTTCTAGGCACAGAATTTCTCCTCTGTGGCATTTTGAGAAGTGTGGTAGGAGAGAATTCTGAGAGCATCCCTTCTGGTCCAAGCCTCAAGGAGAGACTTCACCCCAGCGGTTCCTTGGGAGACCCTCAGGAGGGCAGGAGCGGCTACCACAAGCCACAGTGGACTTTTGGTGGCTGCAGAAGTGAAGTGAGCAGTGACTGCCTCTAGCAGAAAGGGAAGGAAAACTGTGCCGTGTAAGAGGAACCCCAAATAGAGAGAGCTTCCTCCATCGCTTGACTTCATCCAGCAGCTGGCCACCCTCTCACCATACAGACGCGGTCCAAGTGCCTGGCTCCTCCCCCATCCTGCAATCTTCCTTCTCAGGTTGTACATCCAGGTTCTGGCTGCCTCCTCCAGGAGCCGGCGACAGCTCCTCTTAGGTCAGGTGACCAAGGCCTATGGAGAGTTTCCCTTCTGTTGTTCCTTACCTCTGAGGATCACTTCTGCCTGCCAGTAGGAGAGAAGTCCTCTAACATGATAATGACTGCATTTGGCTGGTTCTTTTGATGCTACTCAGTATGACAAAGATATCACAAGAGCCGGGGAGATGGCCCAGTGGGTAAAGTGTTTGCTTCACAAGCATGAGAACCAGAGTTCAGACCGCCAGCCCCCATGTGGAAATCTGGACTTGGTGGCAGAGGTGGGAGCTGGGGGTGTAGTGGACACAGACAGACCCCTGGATCTCAGTGGTCCTAAAAATACAATAATGATAAAGGAAGACACTCCATATCAGTCTCTGGCCTCCACATGTACATGCATAGGCAATGCACCTGTACACACATGGAGAAACACACATGCACTACACAAATGAATATTACAGGTGCCCACATCTGATGTGCCCAGGAAACAATCTATAAAGCCAAAGAAGGCAGACCCTCCCAAAAGCCTCAGACTTTTGGCCCATTACAAAAACAGTCATGAATGATTGGAATACATCTTGAAATGTATCCATGGACAATTTCATGCCTGTGTGAACATCGTAGAGTATGATCACGTGAGACTATGTGGCACTGGGCAGTGAGAGTTTACGGTACATGTGCAACCCTCATTGACCAAGACACTGTCAGACTCTGTAGGAACACACCAAGAACTGGTAAATCACAGAGTGGAATGTCAGCTCGTGGTTCCCAGGAGCTGGGAGGGGAAGAAATGGTGAGCAGTTGCTTGGTGGGCATGGGGTTTGTTTTGGGGTTGATGAAAATATGGAATCTGATAACGGTGACAACTCAAAGCGGGAGCTTCGAGTGTGCTATCGCCAAAGTGGGCATATTAACACATGGCTAAGATTGCCAGTCTTGTTACCCGTTTAATGTGCGCGTGCAAGCACACACACACACACACACACACACACACGTCTGATAGAACCTTTAGCTGTGTTTGCATTTTATTCTGCTAACATCTCAGTTTCAACCCATTTTAGCAAAAGAGAAGGGAAGAGCAAGGATGACTTGAGCAATGGTTAAGTTGTTATTTTTTTAATTGCTATTTATTTATTTTGTCTTATTTTACTTCTCTTATTGAGACAGGGTCACATGTAGTCTAGACTGGTTTCCAGCAAGCTAACTGACTGTGTTGCTGAGTCTGGGCCTTGAACTCCTAATCCTCACAAGTGCTGAAATTACAGCAGTGTACTACCACACCCAGCCCTGAGTTTGTTTTTAACAGAGTTTGAGCAAGGCAGAACCTTAAGACTTAATGAGCCAACGTAATCCTATCTGACCTCTCTGATTGCAGACAAGGAAGTCTCGGCTTCTGCTCTGAGGCAATCTTGGAGAGAGGACATGTAGATTCCAGTATGGTCCTGTCGGCCTATTGAGTATGTGACAGTCTCTTTCGGGGTTGGCCTCCCCAGCAGGAAAGCAAGACTGAAAACAGTCTGTGAGCAGCTCCCTGAGACCTCAGACCACTTGGTGCTGCAAAGCCAGATCACAAGGCAGGTGAGCAGCCTGGGAATGACAAAGGGAAAAGGCCATCTGTGGGGCTTTAGCGTGGGCACACGATTCCAGGAAGGTCCTTCACAGTGGGCTTTCACTGATGGAATTGGGCAGTCTTTGTAACGTAAAACCGTAGGGTTGGTGCAGTGCAGAGCAGGGTCCTGCAAGCAAGTCTGGACGGGTAAACTGCTGTGTACACAGCAAACTGTTTGCCCGTTGTCTCGGGAGAATCACTGGGTGTGGTGCATGTCCTAAAGTGTCGCTGCTCTGCAGAAGGAAGTGTGGGTAACACAGGAGGTCTCCGTTCTGTTCCTATGTTTCGCTGTTTGGTAAAGAGCCCAGGGCTCACAGAGAAGAACCAAGGGGGTTCATCTAGTCTCAAGAACGGGGATTCCTGAAAAAAAAAAAAAAAGACAGGATAGAAAGTCTCCGAATCCCTCTGAATAACTTCCAACCAGATGGAGCACCAAGTCTTCTGCCTTAAGGGCCAGCATCCTCCCACATGCATTGTTAACACCAGGCTCCTCTTCTAACATCAGCAAACAAATTCAGCTGCCGTAGAAATTCCTAAGTCTCTTTTTCCAATCTGAAGGAAGTTTATTTTCTTCCCATTTTCTTCCACTTTTCACCTTCCAGGATAGTGATGGCAGGGGCTCCCAGGCCGCTGAGGGGTCAGCCTTTACGGCGGAGTCCTGAGCCTCACCTCCGAGGACAAACGCAGGCTCAGAAGGGAGAGGCCGCTCAGACGTGACCCCCGGACAGAGTTCCAGGAGCAGAAGTTTTCACGTTGTTTAGCTTGCTGATGTAGTCTGCCGGGGCCACCGTCTCACACTTGGCCGCCATCTCCTGCTTTCTGAGATTTCCAACACCCTCGGTGCTGCCTGGGTGCCGCTCCCTTCCAGACTCCTTTTCTGTCCAGGGGCCAAGCGTTCGTCTCAGTTTCAGTATTTTCTGACCCTGAGAATTAGTCAAGGACAAATGGCAGGCTATACGGTGGCATTACAGTGTTGTACGTAATTCCTGTTTGGGACAGTTCTCAGAGTTAGGAAAATTGTCCTAACTTGGGGACCAAAAGGCCACTGATCCCTTTTCAGAAATGACCAGTGTAGCTTCCAGCATCCTTTGCCTCCAGCAAATGGGGGCTTGGATAATTTCTGCTAACCTCAGTGTTGAATGCAGAAAGAGCGGGAACAGCTGAACTGTTCCACTCCTTGGGTCTTCTCTTGCCTTCTACTGTCTGTGTGGTTTTACGTACCCATGACTTTGAATTAATTGGTCTCTTCCTATCAAGAGAAAAAATCATTAGCTCCAACCAAATGCCAGGTCCTTCATTGGATAAGGAAAACACAGGGATGCCAACTGTGGTGCCAGAATCACTGGGGCCTGGAGGGGGAAGTGACCAGCGTAAGACTCTAACTCGGTAATACAAAACACACAATTGACCGTGGAACCCTAGAGAGACCAGGAGAGAACTAGTTGGGATGGCAGGGGAAAATATCCTCCATGGATCCCCCAGGGAGATAAAACTTGGGTGCTTTTTATGAAGAAGAAGAAGAAAAGATGTTCCAGACACAGGAACAGATCTCATAGGCAGGAAAATTCAAAAGAGCAGGATGTGTTTGGAAGACACCAAGAAAATCGACATAGCCTTATCATAAGGTTCCCAGGCTCTGAAGAGGCAAGGGTAGACTGGAGAAGGGGTTGTGCATCTGATCAAGACGCTGGGCTTAACTATCCTGCGAGGAAGGGTATCCCTGGAAGTCTGAGGGTAAAGAATCGGAAAGTCAGCTTTAGCTCCATCCCACACACTCCATAGTATGAGGGAGGGAGGCCTGGTGGAGGACAAAATGGAGAAAGGCAGGGCTGGGGAGATGGCTCAGTAAGTAGGGTGTTTGCTGTCAATCCTCAGAACCCACGTGGGTTCTGGCTCCTGCATGGACATATGTGTACACCAAAAATAAATAAGCAAATGTAAAGCAAACAAATAAGTAAGCAAGACAGGACAGAAAACCGAATCCGCCAGAAGGAAACCCCCTTGGAACAGAATCAAATGTGCGGCTCCAGACTCAGGGCTCCAAGGTCCACTCGCCAGGAGAGAAGCCCACTGAACAGCTAGGGAAGTAGCTTTGTGACTCAGAGAGGATTGAAGTCAGTGACGATGTCTTGTCCACCCAAGGTGAGGTGCAGCTGAGAGTGAGACCTTCCAGACAGAAAACAAACGCACCAGAAGAAAGTCAGGGAGTAGTGATGCAGTGGGGTGGTCAGAGATGGTAGGAAACAGCTTTTCCGTGACTGTATTCCAAACTGATAGCCTCTTCCAGCTTCTGAAAACATCCGTCTTAGAGACAAACATCCCTTCTTTCTATTCAATTCAGACATTAATTAATATGCAAAAACTCACGGATTCTAATTGATATTAACTCAAACCCCTACACACACTAGGGAACACTAGGGAACAGTTTTCATTCTTCAGGCTGGAGTTGCTGTCCTCAGATGCCCAATTCCTGCAGGACCTTCCCCTCGTCACCGAAAGTATGTGTCTGGCACCCAGGCCTGGTATCAGGCAGACGTGGAGTTCCTTACTTCAGAAGTGCAGTTGGTAGAACCAGGAGCCTGAGAACAGGAACTGCTGCCAGGAATAGCAGGGCAAATTCACCCACTTCCAAGAAGGTCACTCCGTGTGAGAACAGGGTGAAGGCAGCTTGAAGCAGATTCTTGGCACCGCCACGGCCATGTCTGCCTGTTGCATAACGTACAGCCCTCAGTTCCCTTGACGGAGAGCGCTGTTGACCTGCGTTTCCTGTTCCTCTTGGTACCGCCATTTTCCAGCCGCGCCCTGCTCATCACGGCTTGTCAGGTGACCTTCCCTCATAAGCCAGCCTCCCTCCTCCTTTTAGCAGCTACCTGTTGAGAGTCCTATTTTTAACCAACAATTATAACCTAAGCGCTGTCATCTGTCAGGTTGTAAACGTTTGTTAAAAATAGGAGTCCTAGACATGCAGTCATTAGGCAACCAAAAGCCGGCAACAATGGGAAAAGTCACAGTGGGAGATGTTAATTACATCTGAATTCATTACTGAAGCTCATCTTTGGAAGGGCTGTAGTCGGTCAGTCTAACAAGAAAGAGGGCTGTTGCCCTTCATGGAAAACTATCCTTCAGGGTGCTTCCTCCCTGAGGTATCCTGCTTCTGTCCATAACCTGGAACACTTGATGTTATACTCCCCAGACTTGTCTTAGCAAGGGGATGGAAATACAGAACACCGTCTCCAGAGAGGTGCCTACCTCCAAAGAGAATGCTTGAAACAACAGCTAGCTCTCCTTGGTGTCCTTCGCTCCCCCTACTTCACTGTGTACCCCAGCGCTCGAGGGAGGAGAACACGGAGGTAAGTTCCGTTCTAGTACTTTTGTGGGATGAGGAAACGAGGTTTAGAGAAGTCAACAACTTGCCCCAAATGAAAGGGCTGGGCCCCTGAGCACACTCTCTAGAGCCTGCCTCTCAGCCCCTGTCTTGAGAGGCTTCTGCTGCCTGCCTGTCACTCTGAATATTCTTCTAAGGGACTGAGGCAGACCACACTCTCCAAAGCACCCCTGTTAGACTGCCTGGTGCAAATCGCACTTGGTTGGATGACTTTGACAGCTTGGGTTTCAGCCAAGAGAAATTCTCCGATTTGTTTTCAGTGGGGGCCAAAGGTTAGGATTGTTCCACAGCCCCTGTTCCCTCTAACTCAACACCCAGTTAGGATACCTCGGACAGCCGTTAAGACTCAGCTATGAAAGAGTGCGAGCCAAGGCTCTATCTTCACAGACTGACTGCATTCTCATTTAACCCTGATGCTGCGGGGTTGCATCTGTTCAGATCCCAAGGCAGTGTTCTCTTACCGTGCGTGTTTTTTCTTTGGAGCCAGTATCCCCAAACTGCGGGACTTTTCTCCCCCCTGACTTGGAGACATTCAGAATTCTAATTCACAGAACACTAGGACATGGCAGACTAGTAAGCTCAACGGAGCTGAAGGCCTTTAAATAGCAGTACTTCATGTGACAGCCTCCATCCACATCTACCAGCTGCGGGAGCGGAGAGCCTTACTGATGGACGCCACTCAGACATGACTAGAAGGTATCTCTGAAATGCTGATTGCTAGGTGTTCATTGGCGTCTACCAGGTGCCTATGACGACTAAGAATGCAAAAGTACCCCCCCCCAAAACTCTAGCCTGAATGCACCCCAAACAACACAAGACAACATATGTAACCAGATGTTCGGGGAAGAGGAATTGGTTCTTGTATAATTACGTGTCTGCTATAAGAAATTTTGAGTTACTATTTGCTCTGTTAAAACTCAAGTGTTTTCCAGGTCTAGGTTGATGGCTCAGCTGGTAATGTGCCCACTGTGTAAGCAAGAGAACCTTCCTTTAGATCCTGAGAATTCATGTACAATGGCAGTGTATGCTGTAACTTCAGTCGTGGGGCCTATGAATGGGGACAGAGACAGCTGGGTCCCTGAAGACCATTGGCCAGCAAACCTAACTGAACCAATAAGCTGCAGGTTCAGTGTAAGACCTTGTCTCAATAAATAAAGGTGACAAGGGATTCAGGAAAGTCACTTCTAGCATTTGAAGACTGGGTCCCCAGTTGGTGGCTGTTGGCAGAGGAGGTGTGGCCTTGCTGGAGGAAGTGTGTCACTGGATTGAACTCGAGGTTTCAAAAGCCTGATGTGATTTCAAACTGGCTCTCTGCTTCCTGCTTGTGGATCAAGATGTGAGTTGTCAGCAGCTGCAGCGGCACCAGGCCTGTCTGCTACCGTTTGCCCCAGTGGCAGGCTTTTCTCCCTCGAACTGTGGATCCCAAATAAACCCTTCTTTCTGCAAGCTGCCTTGGCTATGGAGTTTTACTATAGCAAAAGCAAGTAATTGATACAACACTCTATGTCTGCTTAAGGCCTATATACTCACACATGTGCATGTGCACACACAACACACATGTAAAATAACACACACACACACTGTATTAGTTGCTTCTCTGTTTCTATGGTTAAATACCATGACCGAAGCAGCTTACTGAAGGGAGGCTCATTTCGACTGATGGTTCCCGAGTGGTAAAGACCACGGGAAGCACAGCAGTAGGCACAGTGGCAGGAACCACAGTGGCAGGAACCACAGTGGCAGGAACCGCTGAGAGCTCACATCTCAGACCAAAAGCAGGAAACAAAAGCACACGACATTTGAAACCTCTGTGGGGTGGTGGCTCACGCCTTTTATCCCAGCACTCAGGAGGCAGAGGCAGGCAAATCTCTGAGTCTGAGGCCAGCCTGGTCTATAGAATGAGTTACAGGACAGCCAGGGCTACACAGAGAGACCTTGTCTAGAGAAACAAAATAAAACCCTCAAAACCTGCCCCTAGTAGCATACCTTCAGCAAGCCAAACCTGCTAGCCCCACCCAAACAGCACCACCAAGAACCAAGTGTCCAAATGCCCAAGACTACGGGGCACTCAATTCAAACCATCGTATACATACAACTCAGCATTTTCTTTTGCTTTTTTTTCTTTTCTTTCTTTTTCTTTTTTTAAGCATCTTTGAAATTTAATAAGAAACTTGGTTAATTTAGCTACAAGTAACTTCGACATAAAAAGTTACATGTCCTCCCCTTCCTCAGACTTTATTTCATAGCTGTGTGTCTAGAATAACACCGTTCTGGGGGCTGGGAGAACGCTTCCATCCCCTGAAATGCCTCTACTGGGAGCCTGCAGCCCACAGAAAGAATTCTCCAGCTCCGAGAGGGAATGCTTCGTAAACTTCACAGCCAGCATCAGCCTCTGATGAGAGGAGGCCGGCGTGGCGGGTGAGGAGCGCCCAGAGCTTCTACATTCCTCCCTCAGCTCGCCGAGCTGCAGATAACTTTTTCCACGGAGCCGTCCAACCCCTGTCCCTGCAAGACCTGGTCTTTTTTCTTTTCTTTTTTTTTTTTTAAACAAGTCAGTAAACCAACGAGAACTTCTGTCAAGTCTGGTGTCTCTATATAAATGGGTACAAATTTAACTTGACACGTTAATTTCTTTCTAGAAAACAATTTATAGTCATAGAATCTACGATTGTTGGATGGGCCTTAATGGTCACCCAGTTCACAGACCAACCTCATGCTTTTGTGGCTGACTTCTAAAGAAATCTGTTTCCCTGAGTGTCTGTGATGAGGTTCTGGAGCCAGACCCTTTGTGCCTTCCAGCCTTCATCACACTGGGGCAGCTGGCTCTCAGCATGGTCTCATCTGGGTCTCTTTTTCGGTAGGGTCAGCTGGATTCTCGGAGGTAAGAAAAGCAGAGACAAAATGCTGCGCTCGGAGCGAAGGATGTGGTTTAGCAGTGGATCCCCAGGATTGAAAAGGAAAATCCACTACTGAGGAAACTTTTCGTTATTAATAACACTAGCTCTATTTCAGTTTCATTTCCTTTTGTTGTGGTGAAATAGTCTGACAAAGCCACTCCAAGGAGAAGGGCTCTATTCTGACCCAGAGTTCATCCATCACCAAGATGGATGGGGAAGTCACGGGAGCAGGAACCTGAGGGAGTCGCCACTCTGCATTCCCAGGAGGTAGAGGAAAATGCGTGCATGCTTGTGCCCAGCTTGTTCTCTGCATCCAGTAAACTCCAGTACTTTCGATGGAATGACCACCCCACCACAACTAATGCAATACCCCTACCCATGTCAAGTGGACAATTAACATAGACCGTCACAAACTCCATCCGTGGGGAGGCCAGCTGACTCGGGCCAGTCAAGCTCAGAGTCCACACAATGCACTGCCGGAATATTTCCACACACTGAAGAACAAACTGTGTGGGGATGGAATGGCCATTTCAAGAGAGAGATCAGAAGAGGTCTTTTGTGCGGAGAACTAGAAACTGGCTTATTTTTGTCACCCGGTAGTTATAGTTGTCACTTGTATGTCTGTATTTCTCTTTTCTTCATAGAAAACTCTACATGTGTGGAAAGCCCAGCATTCATAGTTTCACTTTAAATAGATGCAGAACCAAAATGTCCTGCCACCCCTAAAACAGTAGCCGTGAAGCACAGGGCTGGAAGAGTGGCCTGCACGGAATGGAGGCAGGAGCAAGAAGAGATAGGGAAGGGTGCAGAGGCTGGGAGAAATTGGTCCAGCAGACTGATGGAAATTCAAGGACAGCAGATTGCAACGGGGAGACCAGGAGGCGTCCAGTCTTGTCGTATCAGCATCCGGGACACTTTGTCTAAGCCTAGCCACCAAGAAGGCTCCATCTGCTAAGGGACAAGGACGTTCAGAGTCTTGGCCCAGGCTGTGGACAGAAGCAGAGGAGAAAGATGTGATATGCCATGGAGACCGGATACAGATTAGGTCAAATAAACGCCAAAACCTCTTTGCATTTGCCTTCCGAGAGCCAGTCTGCATTCCCAAATCTTCTGCATCAGCCAGGAAGACAGAGTGTGCACGAGGAAGTTAGAGTGTGCACGAGGAAGATAGAGTGTGCACGAGGAAGACAGAGTGTACACGAGGGCTTGGAGAGGAAGCTCAGTCAGAAAATGCACCCAGGCCCCATCATTCATCCTTTTCTGTGCATGTGTGTTGTATATATGTTTTTGCATTTGCACAAGTGCACATGTGCACATGTGTGTATATGGAGGCCTGATACAAATACTGAGTCTTCCTCAGTCGCTGTTGGCCTGGTTCTTTAAGGCTTGCATCTGAGCGCAGAGGTCACTGGTGTTAGTGGTCCAGCTAGCCGGCTTGCTCTAGGGATACCCCTGCGTGTGTCTTTCAGGCTTTAGAATTACAGTACGGCTACCACACCCACTCAGCTTTTACATGAGTGCTGGGATTTGAACGCAGGTCCTCACGTATCTGAAGCAATCGCTTTGTGTATTGAGCCATCTTCCCAGCCCTTCTTATCTCCAACTGCAATTCCTTAGCAATGCCTTTTGAGATCTTAAAGTACTTGTGACAACTGGCTTTAAAAAAAAAATTACAGAATGCTTTCTGGAGGCCAAAAATTCCTATTAGATACTGGAAGATTAAAGTGTTGAGAGTTATGGGTGAAAAGAAGAAGAAATTAAAAATGCATGGAACACTTCACAGAGAATCATAATAAATAAATCTGATTTATCAAATTAAAAGGCACATTAAAAAAACTATCAACAAACCTTTAGTTGACTTCAAGGGATTATTTTATTTGATGAACATGCTTTCATGATGAAAAACGGGTCTTTTTTTGGTTCCTTCTAGAACTGAACGTTCATTCCACTGTCCATCCCTCAGGGTCCGCTCAGGTAGGGAGAGCCAAGCACTGCCCTTTTCCCTGTGCGGAGTTTTAGGTTACCTGTTGGGCCTCGCTTTGGTTTTCCGTCTTCTCTGTCACCATCTACAAGGTTTTTTTGTTTTTTTTTCCCAAACAAACTCTCCCTCCCACCATAAGCCTCATGGAACAAGGGTCTAGAGGGAGGCTCATCCACCTTATTTTTCTTGTGGTTTCATCTCATTCTCTCATGACTTCACTGTAAGACAGTATTTTTTTTTTTAAGGACCTTATGCTGGCAAACAGGAGCTGACTTACTAGAACATAGCAACTTCTTGGGGTCTCTAGGTCTGTGACGTAAATTACCACAGTTTGTTTTTAAAAGGTTTTCATAATCCCTCGTGTAAACACACCTATTTGCATAATTTCCAAGACTCACGCGTTTGAGTCCCCAGTTTCTCCAGCCTTGCTGTGGGTCATGCGGACACTAAGGATCTGCAGGTTTGAATTCCATCACGTCGTTTTGTCAGCTCCAAACTTAGAGAGAGCTGGAACGCAAAAGAGGAGCTTCCCTATGCTAAAGCATCTTAAGCCGGCCATCTGCTTCGGAGGGAAGGAGACTCTAACGAACGTGACCTGTGTGGAACTGGACCATGGGAGGTGTGGGGGGGGGGAGACCACAAGAGGGGAGTGCTTGCAGGCTCCGGCTTTAAACTTGCTTTCCAAGAGGTACCTACCAACAGCTTCTCTCAAGCACTTGTGACAGGACTTCCACTTCTGAAAGTTCGGCCTGAGCTTAGGCTTGTTCCCAACTAGCTCTTAAAACTTAAATCAATCTGTTCATATTAATAATGTGTTCCGCCACGTAGCTCCTTATCTCTCCTCAGTATCATACATCTGACTTCCTCAGCATCTGACGGGTGAATCCCCCACCTCTCAGACTCTTCTCGGAAGTCCCACCTATCCTCTCCTGCCTAGCTATTGGCCATTCAGCTCTTTATGGAACCAATCAGAAGGTGCCTTAGGCAGATGAGGTAAAACTTATATATCTTCACAGTGTTCAGAAAGATTATTTCACAACATGCATTTTTTTTTTTTAATTTTGAACAACCCTCTGATTCTCCGACAAGGGCATGGGTGAAAGTTGACAAAGTCAACGCACAGGTGGCTAGAGAGACTGAGCACTGCCCATCCAAATTTGAATTTTGCTCAATTTTGGCTCCATTTTAAGGTAGGAGGTGGAGGACACAGAAAAGAGTGTTCTGGCATATCCCAGTGTTCAGTGGCAGCCGAAACCAAAGAGCAGGGTCACTTACGCCCCTTTGAGCCAGCCCTCTGCCAGGCTTGCCAACTTGCTTTATCCCTTCATGCATTTCTCCCAAGGAGAATCCTGCTTCAGTTTCTGCTTTAGTTATCTGTCTAGTTTGATGCTCTCCTCTAGAAGCTCCAGTCTGACTGAAGACGACTTTCCCCTTGACACTTGATGGTTACATAGATATACGCACATACGTGTGTGTGTGTGTGTGTGTGTGTGTGTGTGAACTGAACCAAGGATCCCTCACAGAAGCTAAGCTGTGGGTTCCATCCCAAACTCTTTTTACTATTTTTT